TTTTTGCGTATACCTTATGCACGATTTTCACGCGTACGACAATAACAATTATAATTTCTTTTTAATTAAATTCTATTTTAGAAATGGACGTTTTCTAGATGAGTTATAGGATACCCTCGGCAGTGTTTACTGAACTAAATATTAATACGTACTACCGCGGGAATACGTTTTATTTACCGCTGCCCGATAATGCGTTATAACCAACGGCAAATTTAATGCTGTTTATTAATATTGGAATTTGATAAATAGCTGGAGCGTAGGAATTTTTATTAAAAGCGAAGATCCCAAGCACGCTGATAATTTACGGTACTCGTAATTTGCCGATCAATAACGCATATATGTTATCTATTCAATTAAGAAAGTACGTTTCTGGCAATTTGATAATTATTGCACTGAACGCTTTAATATTAAAGAAATTTGATAAGTAATAGAAATTTTTTTAAGCCTCATATAATAATCATGGATTTCTTTAACTATTTGCTCGGCTGAAGTAGAATCTTGTAACTGTAGATATTATATATATATATATGTATCACACGTATAATACGTGAAATTGCGTGCAATATAAAAAAGATGTGTTAAATATGTTACTTTATTTCAACAACGTATACACAATTAACAATTAACGTAGATTACTGGATTATTATATAATATGAGGGATAATATGGATAACAGGAATGAGAAAGAGTAACAGAATCCAATTCAAAAGCAGCTGGTGGTACCTCTTGAGTAGTAACAAGTTTTAATGTCCCTTCTTGTATTCCCATTTCTTATGATCTTCGTGACCACCCTTCTTTCCATGATGATGATGATGGTGATGATGCTCATGATGATCGTGATGACCTTTGTGTCCCTTATGATCATGATGATGATGGCCTTTCTCATGATGACCTTTCTTACCATGATGACCCTCATGATGATGATGGTCATGATGTCCTTTCTTAAAGTGACCACCTTTCTTATGTCCATGTTCGTGATGATGTCCACCGTGTTCGTCATGATGACCATGATCGTGATGTTCATCGAAGAATTCCTTATCCTTCTTGTACTCATCCTTCTTATTTACCTCGTGATGGCCATGAGTGCTGTGGCCTTTGCCATAGTGTCCTTTTTCGTGGAACTTATGACCCTTCTCCCCCTTTTCACCATGATGGTGCTCATGATGATGACCATCATCGTGATGATGATGCTTCTTGTGTCCTCCGTGCTCGTCATGATGCCCATGATGATGCTCTTTGTGATGATGTCCTTTCTCACCTTTTCCGTGATGATGGTGATGCTTATAATCCTTGTGACCATGATCGCCATGGTCATGATGATGACCGGAATGATGCTCCTCCCCGCCGCCATGTTCATGATGATGACCATGATGACTGGCGGCTACCTGAAGATCGTCGTAATGATTCCTGGTAATTTCACGTGCGGTGGTCACGCAATTAGTGGCAATATAAATTGCTACAAGAATTGTTATTAGTGGCAATACACGATGTAGTGGAAACATGATAACAATTGTATTGTAATACTCAATATATTAGTCACATTAATAATCGTCTTAACGACTAGTCTTCTTAATAAAGCGTCTGAGCGCTTTCTAGCAATGCAAGCTATATGATGTAGCGATTCGTGGGGTGTTATTTATATTGCGATTCTGGTGCAGTGAGCCATCAAATTTTGTAAGAAAAAGTATATATTTTTATAAATAAAAGATGAGAGGGGGAGTTCCATTTCATTTCCTCCATTGCGGTAAATTATATGAAGTCTGTTCTATTTTGTAATTTACCACTTGTTTGAAGTTATATAAATGGAATTACGTGATACTGATTAAACTTCCTTTATTGATTTTCAATAGTTCGCTGAACCTACGGTAGAAAGTTACACTGTGTCAATATTGTCTTTTATTGTATAAATTTAAAACTAAATATAAAAAATGAAAATAAATATGTCTATTAAAATAGTTATGAGAGAATTTTTATTCTTATAATTTAATTCAGATTTATACGTCTATTGTAGTCAACAGAATAGATTATCATATATCATTTTATACATCTCTATAAATTATTAAAAAATGTTTTAACGATTTTATAGGTTTTAATTTTCAGTGCACGGAAAAACTTGACGTTACATTATTAATATTCCATTAATTCTTTCAAAATATTCACATTTAATTAAATATTCAAATTTAAATTTGATATAAAAGATAATATTGATATAAATATTGATATAAATATTCATGTAATATCTTCACAATATTAGTTAAGATCAGATAGTTAAGACTAGATGTTGCGTGCATTAATACGATATTTTTCAGAATGTTAAAGTGTCTTAACGTTTCATGCTTATCTATGTGTTTATCCTCTCTCCTATATTATAGTCATATATTTATTTAAAGAAAAAGTTATACGTTCGATAAACCTTTAATTCTTTAATATGTGCATTAGATAATATTCAATCTTTGACTGTTAAAACTTCAATAAAAATATCGCATAGTATAATAAATATGTAGGACATTTAGGAAAAGATTATAGATAGAAGATTGTAGATATAAATAAAATAATAAAATGCAGTTCGTATTCATGAGGCTATATTAAAAGCTCAATTTGATAACAATTAAATAAAATATCGCGTGTTTTGATATAAGAAATAGTAAATATATTATTTCAGATAAACGTTATAAAATTTCAATTATGGATATATAGGGGTTATTAGAAGAAATAATACATTCAGTTATGGTTGGTATAGGCATTTTAATTTTTCAATAACGAAGTAAATCCATTATTATTTGACATCTTAAAAATAATCAACGAAAGAACAATAAACAAATGGTGCAACAATTTATTCTGTTTGTGTCGCACTAAATTGAGGAGTTTTATATCGTTAATGATGATGATGGTGACCGTGGTGACCGTGATGGTCATGATGACCGTGATGACCGTGATGACCGTGATGGCCGTGATGGCCGTGATGGCCGTGATGGCCGTGATGGCCGCCATGACCGCTCGAATAACCATGCTTTTTGCCGCCATGATGTTCATGCTTCTTTCCGTGATCTTCGTGGTGATGATGGTGTTCTTCGTGACCATGTTTGCCATGATGACCATGATGATCTTCATCGTAATGCCCTTTATCATGGTGACCCTTCTTACCGTGGTGATCTTCATGATGACCAGAATGATGATGTCCGCCTTTCTTATGGTGACCTTCCTTGCCATGATGATGTTCATGATGATCGCCATGCTTCTCATGATGGCCACCCTTATGATAATCATCGTAGAATTTATGTTCCTTATGGAATTCATCTTTATGGGATTTGTGATGATAGCCATGAGTCTTTTCGCCCTTTTTATGACCCTTTCCATGACCAAACTTCGATTCTTTATGGCCGTGTTCATGCTCATGATGATGACCGTGCTCGTCGTGTTCGTCGTGATGACCTTTCTTATGACCGCCATGCTCGTCATGATGACCCTCATGATGTTCCTTACCATGATGGCCATGTTCTCCCTCTTCGTGATGATGATGTCCCTTATGACCTTTATGACCCTCTTCACCGTGTTCTCCATGGTGATGAGAATGATGCTCATGACCTCCACCATGCTCGTGATGATGGCCACCATGGTGATGGCCACCATGGTGATGGCCATGGTGATGAGTATCAGCCGTCTCCAAATCTCCTTTTAAACTTCGGACATCTCGCGCCGAAGATATGGCAATGACCGTGCATATCACAGCCAATCCCAAAAACAAACATGAACCTACGTATTTAGCCATGTTGGAACTCTGTAGAACCAACAAGTGCAATTGACTGCCCAACAATCTTTAAAGCAAAGCTTATATACCTGCGGTTCCACCAATGCTTTGTACGTAATCACTTTCGTTCCTTCGCTCTTGTTCGAACACAATACAGCACTCGTATTTCGTAAAACATTTGTTCGTATACTATGTATTATTGCTTGAATGCGCTGTTAGTTATATAGAACTATTGTCAATCTTAAATTACTTAATAAACTTGACTATGAAGTAGAAAAGTAAAAAAGAGAGAAAAAAGAGAGGAAAAATTAAAAGATATGCAATTATATCATTGTTACATCATTTATACATTAAAATTATATCAAAACTTGTTAAAAAATATTAAGCAATTTGCAACATGCGTGTAATATACGAACATGTAATATATATATTTGAAAAAAATATTATCTTTCACAGATATACAGTAAAATTTTTATGAAATACTTTTCCAAAACTAAAACTTCAAACATAATAATAAAAAACGAACGTTTTGTTAAATGACGTAAAGAATATTATATCAATTAATTTTGAATATTTTGTTAAAAATAAATAACGGAAATTTACAACCCTCGAAATCCAATTAATTTAAATATAATAGTCCGTTAGAGAGGGAGAGAGAGAGCGAGTTAGATGCATTTAAAATAATGAAGCTAATATAGAATTTTTTGATAAATAAATAAAAGCTATCTGCCAGTTTAACGATCGACGACCGGTGGAACGAGATGCAGTACAACAGGACGATTTACCGTCTTTCATTCATAACCGTTCAATTTATTTCCGGTGTCAATCAAAGCATTATTTTTAAAAAATTATACTACTCACTAACACACAATGGTAATGTCCGGTCATTTATACTACATCTCTACGTTCATCTCCAAATATATTAATCATATAAATTGCCTCCCATTGAATTGAAGTTATTGGAAATTAGCGTATTATCGTTCGGCTAAAAAAAAGGATAAAAATGCATTATTTAGACTTTATAAACGTAGTTTGGTAAGCACGACAACGATTTCAATGATATTATGTAATAGCCCGAGCGATTGTCGCGGGCTCACTGCAAATCCGCATTACAATTTAAACAGGTTAAGGAGACATTAACTTTCGCAACGACCTAAGATCCAAGAAAGAACTCTGGTTACTCTCATATCGATTATTCTGCGATCGATATATAATCCGAGCGGGGCGACTAGCTAAATCATACCTACCGATCACAGCGACGAAGTCAAATATCTCTCATTGATATTGGATCAAACAAGAACACAACACGCGTGATGAACAGATTGGTGGCGATCTGCCTGTTGGCAGTATGTATCGCCTCTCATTACGTGACTATTGCACGTGAGATCAGCAGGGCGCATTACGACGATCTGCAGGTAGCCGCTTCTCATCATCATCATGAGAGCGGCCACGGGGGCGAGCATCATTCCGGTCATCATCACGAACATGGCGGGAAAGGTGACAAAGGCTACAAGTCGGAGCATCATCACGGAAAAGGAGAAAAGGGACATCACGATAAAGAAGGCCATTCTGGACATTATCACGAGGACGAAGGTCACAAGAAGCATCATCATCATGACGATGGCTATTATGGCGAACATCACAAGGGTGAGAAGGGAGAGAAGGGTCACGCATTCCATGAGAAAGGGCATTTCAAGAAGGGCCACAGCACGAAGGGACATCACGACGTTCACAAACTCGACGAATTTAAGAAGGATAAGAAATTCTTCGACGAACATCATGATCATGGTCATCACGAAGAACATGGTGGCCATCATCATGAACACGGACATAAGAAAGGTGGCCACTTTAAGAAAGGGCATCATGACCACCATCATCACGAAGATCATTACGGTAAGAAGGGTCATCACGAGAAAGGACATCATCATCATGATCATAAAGGTCACAAAAGTCATGGTGGACACGATGAGCATCATCATCATCATCATCATCATGGCAAGAAAGGTGGTCACGAAGACCATAAACACTGGGGATTCAAGAAAGGGCATTAATACGGACATGCGGAAAATTATAATTTAGCTGCTATTACTCATTGAATTATGTTGATTGATTGTCATCGCTGCATTAATTGTTGTACATGTTGACGAACAGAATAAATCTTTTCCAGTAGATATATTATACGTTGTTTATATATTATCTCATATTGCATTGTGTCAATTTATTACAAAATACGACCTGCATTTATTAAGTCATAATTTTCTTTGCGTATATGTTTTCTGCAAAAAAATGTGCAATAACCTATATTAATCAAACTCTCATAACACTATAGACGAATACTCGACGTAAAATGAAATTTGAGTTATTTCTGCAACCGTAACGTGTGTCGCGAAATCGGTAACTGTCGTAATAATTCAGTGGAGTTTCATGTTTTGTGCTACATCAGTCACGCTTCTGCGGTGTAACAGCTGTCACAAGAAAATATGGCCGCTCGTTACATGCTATTTCCATAAAACAATAGTACCGGCCAGTTACCGCATTCAGTGGTGCAATTGACACGGTTTTATATTTGTTTTATCAGGTGCTGGTTGAGAGTTGTATTTTTAATATCAACTATCTAATACATTAAAATATTTGAATTGATCTCTGGTATTTTTTCTACAAATATAACATAATTCTACATATATAACTCGACGATAATTTTCTGATTCTTTATTGCACACGATAAGTCATTCGTGTCACGGATTAATTTTCATTACTTTTATAAATATATATAAAAATTATTCTTGTATTAATAATAAATATATAAAATTATAAAATATATAATAAATATATAAAAATTGTTCTCCGTAAGAATTAATCTAAAAGTAATTCTTATATATACTTTAACATGTTTAAAAAATAAAAATAATTCTGTTCCTCTAAAAAATATTTATAGAGTACGTTACAAAAAGAAAAGATTAGAGGTCATTATTTAGCCAGATATTCCTAATATTTTAAAGAAAAAAAAGCGCAAGAAATAAATAATCATATGTATAAGGAATAATATTAGGATGGACCTAAAACATTTTTAAAATATTATGATAGTACAGAAGAATTTTGCTAAAAAAATATTTAAAAATTCAATTAGATATACACACACACACACACACACATAAATCTGAAAATAATTTTGTTGAACCATCAGAATAATTATGTAGCAATTTTGAAAGATATACATAATTGTTTTGTAGGCCAACAAAACTATTTTCTGATCTGTACGTATAGTTAAATTTTTAGATATTTTAATAAAATCGTTCCACATAGCCATGCTGTTAATTGCATTATTTCTCAAAGTTAATATTATTTTAATTACATTTTCCATAATCATTCTAATTATAATGTAATAATATAGTTTATAAACAACGTTTTGTATATGTGTGTATATATATATATGTGTGTGTGTGTGTGTGTGTGTGTAGCTAAAGCATCATTTTCAATATATGTAGTGAAAATTTGTCATAAAAATGTGATTATAACTTTTTTTTCGCATGGTATAAATAATAATGAATATAAAATAACAATAGATAAAATTACATTGTCCTTAAATTTATGTTTAACAATATCAATCAACTTTGTCATACCCATGTTTTTTAGTTAAACGCGTGCTTTCATCGGAGCCGTAATTTTCATAATTATTGTGAAAAGAATTTTCACCTTTTTCTTTATTATATCCCCGATCGCGATTCTGTACATGCCCATTGTCATAAAATCCTTTTTTCCCATTATTTCTATTATCAAACTCGGATTCATGATGCCCGCCTTTCTCGAATTCACCTTCCGTAGCGTTATGATGCTCGTCAGCAACGAAGTGCTTGTCGAAATAACCTTTCTTGTGGCTCTCATCATAGAAATCGGTATGCTTTTTATATTCATCCTTGTGGTAGACTTTATGAAAGCCGCTGGTCTTTTGCCCCTTTTTGTGGTATGACGTCTGCCCATAACTACTACCCTTGTCACTATTCTCAGTTTCATCGTAGCTGCCATAATTTTTAGCTACGTCGCTGTGTTCTTTTTCGTGCCCAGTTTCGGTATCGTAGTGTTCTGAAAGATTCAGCAAAAAGTCTCACCCGAAGTAAATACTATAATTTTATGCAAAATCATACATGTTTAAAAGTGTATTGAGCAAATCAATGTCTGTAGAAAAAATAAGCAAAAATCCACCTTGTTGCCTGCTTTTATCATGCTGTTCGCGTTCACCCACGTCAAATTCCACTCGTTTGTTGTACCCTTTGTCACCCTTTTCTCCATGAGCGGAATTCTGCGCGGCCGAATACTTTTCACCGTGTTCAAACGAAACGTCGATATCTGAACGAGAGTTGTCGAGGTCGTGAATAGGATGGGTTGCTATAAAATCAACTGCTTTTTCGCGATTCTCAGGCACACGCCCTTTTTTCTCTATTTTATCACCGTCGTCGTCCTCATCGCTGTCATAATCGTCCTCATTCTCCTCGTTCTCGCTTCTCTTGTCGATATTTTTATCCGTTTCGAGCGGTTTTAATACGTCAGGCACATAGTATGGCGCCGCACCTGCACGCGCAGTCAGTTGAGGCAGTTGAAGCGGTTGCGCATATTTCGCTAATTGGCCCACGCCATAATTAATGAATCCATCGCGCTGGTAAGGCTGACGCGTTACGTACGGTACAATTTCGTGCTTCGCAGTCGCATACGCGAGCGGAACGGGTTCGTGCGACGACGCAGTTTCAGAAATGGTGGGCGCAACAGGTGCAGGACTGCCAACGATGTAATGCCGCCGGTGCACCGCCGCCGCCGGTGCATGGTAGTAACGTCCGCTTCCGTGATTGGTATACCGCATGTACAAGACCGGAAGACCCCCTTGCTGATTGTACGCGTATCCGCTTGCCGAGGTCTCCAGATCGGTCATTCTCATCTTAGAGACCGTCATGTGCGCTGTCCTTGCCGATGACGCACCATCGCCGCGTGTATTAGCCAACAGCAGGGCCAACACTAAACTCGCAATCATGCTAACCAAATCCCGCATCCCGGGTAACCACGCCGGATAACAACGTTACCGTCTCGTGGCCGAATTGTCCGGCACTGTTATATCCGTTCGTCAACGTTATCGCTTTATATACGCATGCCAGAAGGACACGTTTATCCTTCCGCCGCGTCGTGTCAGTGACAGTCGTGTAAGTGACACGCTATTTAGCGACGTGGAGAGTTTCATGGTCGCGCCGGTGCTTCAAATGCGGAGCGCATTATTAACGGTTTTTCTTTCACCCCAACATTAGTCAATATCCCGACGGAATTGCGTAATAAATTCGAAGAGTTACTCGTCGATTAATCGAATCTATAGAGAATATCTGAGTCTATGTCATTTGATTTTTTTCGGTTGAAAAAATAAAATTCCCAAGCGTTCGATTCCTTTTATACAAATTGCAAGAATGTCTATATTTCACAACATTCTTGCTCTCTGAAGCTGCAATCTAATCCCATGAGTTCGATTTGCATCACTGATCGACTAGTACCGTAAACCGCCGTTGATCTTGAATTGACTATACGCTACGATAGATACACTAAGGCCATGTGAAATCGATGATCGGTCTTCGGTTCGGCTGAACGATTGTCGAACGATATAAAAGAGCTGGTATTATTGCGCGATTGTTACAGTGCATGCCGGTGCGTGACATTACTACATCAAAAGTCACTGTCTTGTATCTAGTCTACCTATTTCTACGAAGATATATAAATATAATTTCGAGTAAATTCGTGGAATAGATTGAACTACCCGGGCTTCCAAGCAACGGGGATATCCACGAAACAAATGAAGATCTATGCAGCATGGTACGCCGCTTGCACTGTGCTCTGTGTTTGCGCGCATCCGTCGAGAGATCGATCTAACGAGATGTACATTAGCAGCTCGAGATCGTTCAATCCAAAATCAGCTAATGGCTACGGTTTCGAGAAGCAGCTATCTGCGACTAAATTGTTCGAGATTCTCGAGGAAGATAGCGAAGAGTTCGAGGAGAGGAGACCATCTACAATGAGAGCGATCGTTACGAAGGCAAAGATCAGTCCGGTCTTGTTACCCTTGATTATAGAACCTGAAGCGGAAATGTTGCCGGTCGGTTATAAGGGCGTGAAGCCACCTGGAGTCACCCATATGGAACTTGCGTTTGCGAAACCGCAAAGCAACCCAAGTCGCAAAAGTGCGACCTTACGAGCCTCGGCGACGGACGACGGGAACTCTGGTAAATCCAACAGATTTAATCAAGATAACGATGCGCATTATGCTGCGTCAAAGTATGAGACGCAAGTTGCGAGAGATGAACATGGTACCGACAGCCTCGCCGTCTTCGAGGTAGGTTCGAAGGGCGACACGAAAAAGGAGAACGAAAAGGTTGAGTACTCCGAAGTCTCTGGTGAGAGTAAAAGCCATTCCGAAAACGAGGATCGCGCGAAGAATCATAAAGAAGAAGTTGCGAAAAAGAAGGGAGCTATCTACGAGACAAGAGATGGTCACGAGAAAGCTCATAACACCGCCGGATATCGTAACGTTTATCACAAAGATGAGTTCAAGAAGGACGCTGATTTCTACAGCAACGGGCGTCGGGGTGGACATTTCAAGAACCATGGTCGATACGGCGAAAAACACGCTGCTGCTGAAGGCAAATACGCGAAAAGCAGAAATAACGATTCCAGATTCGTCGAGGTGGAAGCCAACAAGTAGAGAAACGAAAAAAAGATGAGACAGCAAATCGAGAAGCCTAAGATCACCCTAAGACGGATTCTTCGGGAACTTGGGCGGATTCATAAAGCAGGCTTAACGAGGGGTTGAAAGTTCGCTTTCAGCAACGACGGTTTATGTTAACATGTATGACGCTTGCGTGAGCCGCAATAGTACAATATTATAGCAGCTAATTCAAAGATAAATATAAAAAGGTTCGAACAAATGTACAATATACGTATTCAAAAATGTATTGTATATTCAAACATTTATCGTATTCCACCTCATTTGGTACGCGCGTTGCACATTTAATGAAATATAAAATTATTAAGCGCGAATCTTTTCTCTCTTAATTCTCACGTTTTATATTTACATTGATTGATTCTTTTATATTGTTTTTACATTTAGTTGATTAATATTTTGCTAATAAAAGATAAACCATTAAAGATAAAACATACTATTTATTGTAATATTATTGTAATTTTGTAATTTCTTTTCCTACATAGAAAGAATTTGCTGGAAGATTTAAAATTTTGCTGGATACAGATCTGAAAATAATTTTGTTGGAGATTCGAACTAATTGCTAAAAGATAAAAATTTTGTAGAGCATGATCATCATTTTTTTTAGTTTCTAACATAAATATTTTGATGAACCAACAAAATTATTTTAATAAAATTTTAGATTTTTCAGCAAAATTATTTTTTCCGTGTATCTGTCAAGTTGACAATATTCTTATTACTTTATCAATTTTCTACTTCCTCATGAAAATTGGCAGTCATAATTTGGAGTCTCGGCAATCAATTTAATTTCTCACTTTCTCCAATTCATCAGAAGTGAGTCTAGTTTTATTTATGCAACTGTCAAACGATCGAACCGCATTCAGCCGGCGGGCGGTTAATGGATATTAAACAATGCCCGCATTGTTGTACCGATAAATTGCAATCTTTCGATTAGTCTTACCGCGAAATGAGAATCAAGGCACATAACTGATGCATATACGAGTCTCCTTGCGTTCTCATTGCGGACTCGCCACCGAAGCCCGCGAGAGCATTTCACTTGGGTAACGTATACCTACCAACCGGCCTCCTACCAACCGTAGTCTGACTGTAGTCTGCACTATATATGTATATATAAAGCTCGCATCCCCTTCGTGGCTCAGTGAGCTCGGGTTCCCCGCATTCATCAACAATAAGCCGCGGCACCTACCGTTCTCGCATACGTATCTGCGAGTACCACCTTATATACGTACGTGTGTATATTCCCACGTAGCTACCACCCTCACGTAAACACGCCGTCGATGCGTTTACACGTGCACGCACGCGATGGTTGTATTATATGTATCTGTCGGTCTATGTACACGGTGTATATAAAGGTGCATATATATCGGAAGCGGTGGAACGCGGCGCGAATACATAAATCAGATGCCGCTCTGCAAGCTGCCACCCATATCACTTCGTACAACGGCCATGAATGAATAGAGCCGTGTTTGAGTTATCGTCCGACCTGGTCTTCTAGAAACTGCGGAACGTCGGCGTTAAGTTTTACCGTCCGGAATGCTCCTTAATAGAAGTGAAGCGCGCTCTCCTTTTACGAATTTGCATAGAATTCAACATGGAATTCAAGAAAGGTAACAACGAACGTCGATCTGTTTTATTTCGTTCAATCAACGTTTTCGCGAAACCTCAACACGTACGTAACGAACCGTCAGAGATCTCGGATAATTTACGTCAAAGAAGTAGATCTGACAGTTTGCCTCGACAGCGACGTTTTATCCCGAGAAGAAATGCAATTTATCTTCTGATAATCTCCAATCCTTCGAAAGCGGACGTTCGCCTCGTATCTTCTTCCTTTTTATTTGACCGTCGCACGTCCGATGCGCTCGTGTGATTCTCTGAGAACGCCTGATTTCGGGGATCTGATCGTCTTTTCGCGATAGTTTATTGTCACCGTTTATCTTCATTAGAAAAATAAAAAAACCCTAGCAGTGAAACGGCAAGAAAGTCTACCAAAAATATTACATTTTGGAGGCATTTGTTTCGCAATTTGTAAATAACATGAAGTACGCGATTATCGTACAAAAATGACAGAAAAACTAGGGAGTACATCGTAGAGAAGTACAGGAAAAACGTGAATAATATATTTATTAATTTCCCATCAAGCACATGTGTGTAGTCTCACGAGTTACAATTTATTATTAATATGCTAAAAAGAGCTAGGTAAGGAACTTTAGTTTTTATGCCGCTATATAATATCTCGCGTATTACATCTCGTAAACGTATACATAAATAAACGAACCTAAAAATAATAAAAATGGAAAACTACATGTAAAATGTCAATCGACGTCAATGCAGCAGATCTATTGTGGAATGCATATAGGGATGCTCCGTGGTGTGTGCATATTTTAATAAAGAATTGCAAAACCGAGTAGATATATATTTTTCAAAGAGGTCACCGTGGCAGAAATATGATATCGATTTTGTCAAGATTTATTTGCCCAGTTGCAAGATGTGTGAAATACGAATCGCACCTTGGCGTATTTAGAAATCGAGGCTATCATTTGCGCCCTATAATGAAAAATTATTCCGCATGCGTAAGTTCCTTATGCGAGATTTATGTTTTATAAAAATATTACAGAAATGAAAATACATACATAATGTAGATTTTAACAAATATTTTCCTAATCTGTTAAAAATAAGTTAAATTCTAAGTGTTATATACTCGTAAAAAAAAATCACTGTATTCATATTTATTGTTAGAAAAATTTATATATATATATGTTGTATAAAAAAAATATATATATAATATATGTAATAGAATCAACCAGTTTACAAGACACGATTGGCTCTTCCGGACGACTACGACAATGTAATGACGTTCATGTGTGACGCATTCTACAAGGACGATCCAACCATGGTAAACATTGGTTTAAGCAAACAGGAGCCTCCTTCATCGTTACTACAAATTATGTACAATGAAATCCGAGAGGGTATGACGTTAATTGTTGAAGAAGAAGAAGACGAATGTATTATAGGTGCTGTGGTGAACGCCGGCTCTTGTCCTTGGGATCCCGACAAGTTCGTCGAGTTCGCTAGGTGCTGTGAATGCGGGCCGACCCGCGACGTGATCGAGTTCGATGCTTACGTGACCGGCAAACCGAATCTCTGGGAGCGCTATTGCGTTCTCAAGATCTTCGAGTGCAGCTATCTCGCGGTCAGGCGGGACTTCCGGAAGCAGGGTATTGCTAGAAAGCTCGTGCTAGATAGCTGGTATCTCGCGCGCGATTGCGGCTATCGATTGTTCCGTGTTGACTGCAACAATAGGTGAGTCCAGCTGGCTGACCGTGGAATTCTGGTTAGGCTATAGACTCGTAAGGAATGCGAGTCGTTTCGGCGCGGTTCGCTCGCCTCGACAGGATCTTGAGTAATTTTCGCGACGGGCCGGTTATCAACGAGAAAGATCGTCCGGACTCTATCCGTTGTACATCACATGTTCAACGTAACTGTTACCTTGTAATTCAAACTGGAGACAGCTGACGTATGGCTTCGTGTCGTATTAAAAGAATAACGATCGCGTTAATTAGGATTAGCATGCGATGATTTGATGCGTCTCTTAGCGTATGAGTGTGTTACTTGATACGAAACATTATCTACGGTATCCTTGCACCTCATATATTACGCGAGTAAGATCGCAACGTACAAAGTTTAATCGACAGATTTACACAGATAAATCAGTAATCTGATATCTAATATGAGCATATCCGTTACAGATATATCGCACGAATCGCAGAAGGTTTCGGTTGGAAACGAGTATGCATAATACCATTTCATGAATATGTAAGAGATGGCGAACTTGTTTTTAAGCATATTGTGGAGCCACATATCGATGTGCAGATTTACATTGATCAAGTTGCACTTTGCAAGGATTATTGTCCACCTTATAAAACATGCGAAAAAATTACTTCAGCACCAAAAATATCTGGAAAGGACAGCTAATGTTGTTTTGATCGTTATCTACATAAAGCTAAGTTGCTTCATCAATAAAACGTTAATAAATATTTCATGAAAGTATCATATTACTTAATATGGTACTTTAATATAATATCTTTATGTCATAATACAATCTAGCATTTTGTTACTTTCTGCTCTATTGTGAAGACAATTTATCAGGAAATTTGTATATTTTAAATATATAAATACTTTTCTCCATACGATTCCAAATTGCTAGTAAGTAAATATTTATAATCCAGTCGTTATACGTGTATATTGTCTATTCTTGCGATAACGAAATAAAGAAAAAAAATTATAATAAAGAACCGTGATGATAAGCGTAGTGCATACTTGTGCCTTCGATAGTCTGAAACAAAGTTCACTTTTTGTTCACTTTGATGACATACATCGATTTCACAAGTACTAATCCCAACAGTTGAGCTTATTGGAATAGTCTGTCAGAGCCGAGAACAGTGATTGATGAGTTCAACGGCAGCTTATCCCGCGAGGAAACTCCTTTGAGTACGATTGAATAATACATAGCGGCGCGCAAATGAAATTCCCGATATTTGACTTCTAAGCTCTATCTCTCGAACGAAAGCCCGGCGGCTAAACTTCTGCTGCCTGCGAAATTACGATTGCTCGGAGTTGTGAGTGTACCGAACTCGGTTCCCAAATTTAAGCGGAAAGAGACGGATTCTCTTTTACGTCTGGAACGTCTATCGAGTCTTCCCGAAGAGGGCATCATAGAATCGGTAATTGCCTGCTAAACAGGCTAGGCCATTCACCGATCAACTACCGTCATAAAACATTAATGATCCGTCGAATGAATTCTACTGCGTGTGTACGCAATATAAAGCTGAAGCGTGTTTGAGAATGATAAAGGCTAAATTATAGGCTTGAGATAATCTATTGTCAATTATGTTAACTAAATTTACAAAACAATTTAAGACGGATATTAACTGTCTATTATGATCTATTATTACTGAACCTATGAAATAATAAGTAGACTATTATCTTCAAGCAATAGTACTAAAGCAATAGAAAAAAGAGAATAAACGTTCAATTGGTGCAACATTAATAAAGTTTCCGTTTAATCTACGATAATAAATCTAAAAAATTATTTATTACTACAATTTATTGACTTGACGACTGCAACTCTTTCAATTATTGCTAACGTTACGAAAATTAGATTATTAATCTAAAGAAAGTATCTAAATAACGTACGATCCGCATTTGTGAGATAGCTTATTAAGAAAAATTGCTTATATAATAGTATTTGCATTTAAAATCATAAATAGTATTTTCATTTAAAATTATTTCGCTAATTTTCAATTTAAACAGAATACGTTTCTAAAAGCTTCCAAATGTATTTGCAACCTCATCATTAAGACGATTTAAATATACTGTCAAAATGCTTATAATATAATTTTAGTATTTGAGAGAAAGAATTTAAAAATTCATGAAAATTGCATGCATTATTCTCGTACAGATAAATTTATTTTCTATGCGTACGATAAGATCGCAATAATTCGTTTCTAATTGAATTCCAAATAATCGCGTCCGCTGCGTATTAATCGTTATATAATCAAATCTTCCACGATTGTATCGTAAATTGCTTTCAACATTAAATGGAGATAAAATGGATAAATTGCTTATAAAAAAGGATACGCCGGAGGTTATTCTCGTTCTAGACTTCCTGACAGACTTGTTTCTCATGCAATATTCCAATTTTTATGTCAGATTTTAAATATAAAAATTTAAATGTAAAAGATCTGAATATACCACAATGCTATTATATAAGATGTTTATTTCAAATATATTCTTTTCTAAATGCATTATATGCATATGTGTGAACAAAAGTTTCGTTATGTATAGGTATAATTTATTTTTACTAAAATAAATACGATTTATGTAATAATATACATACATGAATACACTAAAAAGAAAATGTACTAAATTTTAACAAATATTTATTTGAATATAGTGCCAGTTAAATATTTACCAAATATAAACATATATTTATTTGATACAAGATCCATTAACTTGATTTACCTCTTATTATATTTATTTAGCAAATATTCATTTTCCGTAAATAAATGTTATATCAGTACTATTCAAATAATTATTTGTATTAAAATTGAATACATTTTTCTTTCAGTGTATAAGCTTTCCAAATTAGTCTGTATTCCATTGCACGTCAGCATGTTGATTTATATATTCGCATTAACACGTGCCCTTGTCAGAAGCTAAGAAAATGGATAGGACATGGCCAAGACGGATTAGGATTCAAGTAGAAACTGTTCGGATCTCTCAAAAACGATCTTGGGCCGATTCCGAAGCCGTAATGATTAATGGAGTTAGGGAGCTACGCGCACAGTTCCGTAATACCGTGGCAACTATCGAGTTGAAATTACAGTTGAGAAACTGCACGGGGCGAGTTAGAGGAGCCCCGTCGTTGTCTCGATCGGGAAAGGATCCCGTCGTTTCTGTTTGGTTCCGCAGCCATCCGATCACGTACCAGGCTCGATTTGATTTTGATTCGACGTACACTAGAAACGCATTTAATACACGTGCTTGCGTGCCAGGCGCGCGTGCATCGACTAAGGATGAACGTTTTCCGTTGGCCGATATGGCGATAAGCTCTTACTTGTGTTGCCATGCCATTATACATATATATATATATATGCGAGCGAGACAGAACTATAGAAAACAGTTCAAGATATACATATATCTGGACATGTCCGAGCAATTCGATTGCAATTACTAGTACCTATTAGATAAAGATTGCAATTATTTCGTATAACTATTTTAATTGTCATTTTAACACAGCAATTTAATAAAACAATATTTTTTGTAATTTAATAAAACAACTAATTTTTTGTAATTATACCATTTAACAAAACAATATTTTTCTTATATTCGATTAAAACTTGAATTTTCGTCGACAATGATACAGCAGAAATAATTGCTCGCACATATAATCGAAGTCAACGTAGGTAGTAGTTCTCACCTAGGACTCTCGGACAGTTTGAACGAGCTTAATCTGCATAATTTCAATCCTCAGCACAGCACATACGTCTGTGTACCTACATGGAACTATGCGTTTGCGCATCGTAAATACTACTCTGAGTGAGTCCGCTAATATCGGCAATTGTTTGCCAAATTGAAATAGTTCAATATGAGACTTCCGGCCTTGAATCTTCCGCGATTGTAATCATGCGTGTAGACGTTAATCATGGCTTCTATCAACGATTCCGTCACGTCTCCAACCTACCTTCACGTCTTGATACTCCCAAGTACGAATGGAGTTCTCAGAACGGGATTTAATCATGTTAATCGACGTATTTCTAATCAAATTCGTGGAAATGTACATTACTCGTAACGATCGTATATTGTGTTAATCTCTTGCATTATATTTTCCGTTTTATAGACAATTTCAAATATTCCATAATTTTACGAGGTGTTATATGTAGAAGCGTTATATAAGGACGAAAAACGCATTTCATGTACGAGCTAACAGTTATTATACTGGTCATATATGTATATTTCATGATAATTTCAATGAAATACAGAGCAGTGGCTTTTGCCTAGACATATTAATGAGCTGTTACATATTAATGAATTAAAAGTATGTGTATATTATAATAATGATTAATTTGTTTACGACTTAAATTAGTCGGTAAATTAGTACCGTATATTATTATACGCTCAATGTGTATAATTTTAGTGGCAGTATTATAGCGTAAGCGGACGATTCCATATTATCCTTGATTCAAAAAATACGAACCATGCATTAGAATTAGTCGTACAATCTTGATCTTCTAAAGATGTTACGATATATTATATGAGAACGAAACAAAACGGCAAAATATTTTCCCTCTTTTCTCTAATTGTATTTTTAATTTCAATATTTTTACTATGAAACTTTGGTGAATATTACAAATAAGTACTTATAACTTGACAAACAGATCTCGGCGATCCACGAATAAATCAGTTTTTTCTTTCACACGTACGTTGAAATATACATGTACGATGCACCATGTTCGCCATGTTTCCAGGTGCAACAGACAATATTAATCGGTAAAAGAATTGGATTTCGCTGTCTCGCAGTTCGCTATCCTTATTTTGTTTGCTCTTTCGTTGTGATATATTAAAGTCTAGATGTGAAAAATGTAAGCAGCCTGGATTGAATAGATCGGAATTGAAATTAAAACCGATGTATAATATTTCAATAAATTAAACAAGTTTCATGATTGAGTTCCTAATCGGTATAAGTAATCGTACATTTCTATCTGTTAGAGAAAAGTAAATGCCAGAAGATTTTGCAATCGCTAGCTTATTCATATGTATTAATGTATTTTGTATAAAAATAATAACTGCATAAGTTATCGTTATTATGTGTTCATTAAATCGATCATTTAAAAATAAAAAACTAAAAATAAAACTAAAATAAAATATATTCGCGTCATAAGAATTTCATATCTTTACATAATTTTTATCCCGCGATACACCTGTATTTCTAGTAAGAATAGCTGCAATAATAGTTGTATTACATTTAAAATATTAGCAAATACAAAACATTTGAGACTAACAATTTTTTTCGTATATTTTTGCGCTTATATAATGTTATAATTAGAAATAAATATCAATAAAGTTATTTTAATATCGGAAACTAAAAAATCAAAAGTCTAACTCTACTAATTATTTACGCAACATATAAGAATAATGCATAAAACTTTTTGTTACAGAAATTCTATTAACAGAAATTAAAAAAAAAAGAAATATAATAAAGTAGAAATATAATAAAGTAGTTACACATATCGTCCGATAAAATTATACATAATTGTATTATACACAGTATTATACACAGCAAAAATGTTACGGTTGCCAAAACCAGAAATAATGACAATTTTCGCTCATCAATTTAATTGAGATAACCATAAAATGGACATATGGCTTTACAACCATAACCGTTAAGATATGCCAATCTTATGATTATCACAATCGTACTGATATAGTTCTTATATAAAAAAAAAATGCATTGATAGGATTTTTGAAACAACAAACAAGAATTTTTGAAGTGACAAACGTAGCTATTTTTTCCATGTATAATTAGTGTATATAATATAATAGATAAAACTAGACGTAATTATATAACTATAAATATAATTATACACAAGCATATTCTTCACATCAGAAATGCTTACAAAACCAGAAAAACTTCAAGTTGTTCAGTATCAAGTTTTCCTTGAAATGATTTTTCTAGAAGTGAGCTCCTTGATTTTAAAATCTTTTATCGAATTCAATATATACAAACACATTGAATATTATTCACCGAGTATTATTAACATTATAAATTAAAATGGAATAAAAAAAATTCTACCTCGATGAAATCTACATAATGCTATTGATTCGTTTTATAGAGTCAGTATAAGAGTGTCTCTTCGATCGAAATCATGCAATATATATATACTGCACTGTGGTAATTCAGTATTAATAATCCCTGCAGAGGATTAATTAAAATAATATAAATATCTTATTACGTAAGTACACGCAATCTCATTCAATCGAGTGCTTTACAGATACTAATACTTAAATTTATATTTTTACATAAAAAGGAAAAATGTTACTTTGCTGGAACATATGTGTGTAAACGATATATAAAAAATATTAATTATTTTAATATTAATATTTGCATTAATTTTTATATTTAAATATAAAAATTGATTTTATATTATTTCGAAAAATCTATGTCAAAAAACAGAAAAATATAATTTATCACGTTACTGTACATAATATCTATCTTGTAATTTTTCGATTAAAATAAAGTTATTGTGTTTTTCCGACATACATATAGTATGTATTGTTTCCTTACTTCAAAAGTGACACAATTAAAAACAAATTAATTAAAAAATTAGTTGAAAAATAGTTTTTTCAAAAAAAGGAAAAAAACTATTTTTCAACTTAGTAGACAAGTATTGATTAATTAAATGGTATCAAAAAAAAGATATACTCTTAGAAATATGATCAACTGTCATTTTCATCGTTTTTCACAATGCTTAAAAAAACCATTCTTTTTTGAGTTTATTGAATTATATTTTTTTGAATTAATTTGATATCCTACACAATCATAACAAATCCGGAATAATTCATTAAAAGTTGCATAGCTTGAATTATTATCAACAGTTTATATTTATCTTGTAATCAGTTAAAATAAAACTAAATTTAAATTAAAACAACTTGTTCAAATTTCGATTACCTATCTTGACTTTACATGTTCTCTATAAAATTTTATAAAACTCTCCTTTTTATTTACAAAGACGATATAACTCAAAATGTATCACTCTTGTAAAAGATATTATTGCCTCTTTGAAGACCCTTACAAAAAAAGAAAAAAATGATACAAGTGCTAGATGAACTGTAAAGTTAAGTTAGTTTTTTGATAATTAATCTTTACTTATATGATTCATTCTTAGTAATAAACATATTTTGTGTCACTTTTGAAGTGAGGAACAGTATTATATATGTTGATATATAGATGTTAGAAGTTAAGTACATATAATTATCAGTCTTCTTGTTCTACTCACAGAATGAGACTAATTACCGCTATCTCCCCAATTACCATCCTATGGATTCTGGTTACAAGTAACCTAACATGCAGCGAAAGGCTATTGATTATTACCCCAACTCCATCCTACAGTCATCAGATAGTATTTCGGGTAATATGTCTTGCTTTGAATCAGCGAGGACACGAAATAGTAACATTGACTCCTAATATCTTAAATGATACTAGCATAACTAATTATACGGAAATAGACTTCGGTTTTATATACGAAAAAATTGATGATACTGACATGAGTCAGACCCGTTGGAATCTCACACAATTGGCGGGATTAAAAACAAGATTACTAACATTAGGTCATAATATCGCTGAGGATGCTCTTAGCCATCCAGATCTCGTGAAGTATTATATGAATAGAACTGATATGCAATTTGATGCAGTAATAGCGGAGATGATTATGACTCCTGCAATCTATATGCTAGCGCATAGATTTAATGCACCTTTAATAGGTAAGATTAAATAAAATTATATAATTATTAACTAATGATATTATGTGTTATGACAAAAAAGGAATTGCGAATACGGACTAACCGCAAACGATATTATTACAATATATTAGAATAATAATAACTCATTTCTTGTGATAATCTGATACATGCTTACTAATGTCGTGTTACAACACGAGACTACACAATACACACGCTGTAAAAATATCGTTACATACTTTGGATATAGGGAGGAGTAAGAACATTGCAAAATACCTAAAAAAAGTGAAATAAAGTTGACAATTATTTATTAACTATAAAGGTTTTTATTTAAAAGATATATTGGACTTAACTAGAATAACTAATGTAATATATATTATAAATATTTTAAATACATAAATACAAAATCCAATTCGGAATTTGTTCCGCGTGGTGGATTAAACAAAATAAACAAAACGTTTTGCTTCAAATTACAGTTCATATTAATAATATGTTAATAATATATGAATGTTAATTATTTTGAAATTTAAAGCCAAATAAATAAAATATATTTTTTAAATAAAGACTTCTACGTATAATTCATAAATAATCGGTTTCATTTAATTTTTCCCTTACATATTCGCATTTCCTTCACTCTTTTCTAAACTATAAACGGTGTTACTCAACGAGTTTTATAACTGCAGGTATCATGTCTATGGACTTACAAAACTGCCATCGTTTCACTCTTGGCAGTCCCGTGCTGCCATCGCATTCCTCGAATTGGGAGCTCGAAAATCTCACAGGATTAAATTTACCATTTTGGAGGCGATTGATAAATTTCATCAATACTTGGTGGAGTATTCATTCATGGTTTAATAATTTCGCGATCAAACAGCAAAAAATTGCCGAAAAGTATTTCGGTAATAATATACCACGTATCACTGACGTTGCGAAGAATATGAGTCTCGTCTTGATCAATCAAGAACCGTTACTTGCATACGCGAGACCCGAAATACCTAATATCGTTCACTTCAGCGGGCTGCACATCACAAAGACACCGCCGTCGTTACCAAAAGTAGGACACTTCGTAATATAATTATTGATTAGTATAAAAATTCTGTTTCTTATTATTAATTCTCTATATATATATACACAATAACTTTTATAAATTAATATTTTCATAAAATGTTTCATCTACAGAATTTAAAAGCGTTCTTGGATAGCGCGACAAATGGCTTCATTTATATGAGTCTGGGATCAAATACGAAAAGCAAATTATTACCGAAGAAAATATTGGAGATCTTTGCCAACACTTTTGCCAATTTATCGTATAAAGTACTGTGGAAATTCGAAAACGATAGCTACCATGTTCCTCCTAATGTTTTTATTTCAAAATGGATCCCACAGCAGGGTGTGCTGGGTAAATTGAAGCAGACAAGCTCGTATTTTATAAAAATTAATACTGAGATTATTAATTGTTTCTTCTATCCTTATTTTAGCTCATCCGAACATCAAGCTCTTCATTTATCAAGGTGGGCTGCAGAGCACCGAAGAAGCGGTTCATTACGCCGTCCCGCTCATAGGAATACCGTTTGTCTTCGATCAGGTGTACCAAGTTATGAAAATGGTTTCTCTGGGAGTTGCAAGATATCTAGACATAGTCCGGCTTACAGGGTCAGAATTGTACGACGCTATAATAGAAGTCATAGATGATAAAGGGTAATTACAATGTCAATTATTAGTGTGCGCGCGCATATGAACATATATGATAATGAACTCCATGTGGATAGAGAACAACAATCGCGAATGTTCACATATAATAACTAACATGCACACATATTTGGCACTCTGTTTGCAGATACAAAGATAGGATGTTGGCGCTGCGTGCTCTCACAAAGGACAAGCCCTATGATAGCTTAGAGAATGTTATATGGTGGATCGAGTTCGTAATGCGTCACAATGGCGCACCTCATTTACGTTTCAATGGAGTCGATATCGCGTGGTATCAGCAATTCGATTTAGATGTCATTGTATTCCTGACGATAACATTATTCTTAGTTTTATGCGCTATTTTAGCCATTGTAGGATGGGTTTCGAAAAAGTTGTATAATATGCATTATAATGATATAAGCAATCGATACTTGTGGTTTAAAAGTAAGGTAAAATCAGCGTAATCATGTTGCGTAAAGTGAACAAACATCCAAGTCATCATTGTGTACTTTTTCATTTTTCTGTGTATAAACTTGGGCGTAATTTGATTTAATAATAGAATTGTTTTGAAATAGAATTCGTTCAAACTATGAAATAGGTGAACCTCTTTTATTCCTCGTGCATTTGCATGTGAATTTTACAGTGCTCATTTATACGAAAAATAGAGAAGCATGGAAGAATTGGAGAAAGTGAGAGAGGGAGAAATTTCGGCAAGAGGAGAATACTGTGAATATAAAATTGGAGGTTGAGTGAAATGAGTTTTGTAAACGCACGAAATTGCATCTCAAGGCCCATTATGTTCATTTACGCGTAGGTACTTTTGCAGACTATGAGATATAGAAAATAAAGGAACTAATAAAAGCCTAAAAGAAGCAAAACCAAAGAAGATAATTACATTACATTCTACAATTACGAGAATATATAATTAGGTCTGTCCGCGTTGTTTAAAATCCTCGAATATTTTCGAACTTAAAAAGAGTTAAATATATATATAAAATAAAAAAGTTTGGGAGACTATTTTATAAATATTTTATATTTGAAATGATATTTATCGAAGCCTTTTGAATACTTTGTTATTAGATAAATATATCTCTTTTTAAGATATATTTTCACCTAACAAGAAATAAAATTACATATTTGAAGAGAGAGAAAGCGAAGATGCTAAATGCAAAAAATAGAAGCAATGCGAACAGACCTACTGTTATACATAAAGTGAGTTCAGGCAGACGCTATTTGCGCTATTAGCGCTATTAGCGCTATTTGTGTCATTCTATCCTTGTTTCCAATAAACGATGAAGATAGAGTGACACAAATAAGGCTAGTAGCGTCTCCCTGAATGTATCCCTAGTCGTACATCCGATACATTCTCCCGATACGTTCCTCGTGACCTTGTAGAAATTCAAAACTTGATTAGTTTCGGAAATGGTGACTAAGTGTCAAATGTTATTGTTAACATGACCAATGCGTTTCGAATATCCGGTTAATGAGACTCCCTTTGCCATCGGTCCGCGCGTCCATTTGGCAGATGGACCTAATTCAGAGTGCAAGGATCCATTAACACGTATATTCGCCCCAAGGAATGTATAGCGTGATAATGTATACGATGCTAACATCGCGCACGTACACAGGGCCAAACGCCAAGCACACGTATTCTATGAACATTGCAGCAACAATTAGGAAACCCCTTTGCCATTGGGTGGAATACATATCTACGGCTATTTCAAGTGCCTGTGTGAAACCTATGTGAATGGCGAACACGTACACAGGTACACATGGCACCGATGACTATGGCATTCATCGCTATTGTAACATATAGTCGCGCATACGCTATTCATATTGCGAAAGCGAAACATCGACTAATCAGGATATCGATTCAGAATTTGATGTAGAATTGAAAAAAAAATTTTCAACGTTTTAATCCATCATAAGTAATTTACCTATCAATTACTACATATTAATTGCAATATAAAGTTCTTCTTCTTCTCCTTTTTCTTTTTGCTCTTACGTCAGGAAAAAGGCTTATGTTACGATATAAGTTAAATTTTAAAAATTTGCTCATTCTTCAGTTTTCAACGCTGACTGAATTGTATATAGAAGTTTTTAACGGTAAGAAAAAATAATTAAAGAGATAGACGATTAACGCTCAGAATAGTTTTCATGGCGTACGAATTTTCAGTCGATCTGGCGCGATTAGCGCGGAAATGAGGGACTCGGGGTCCAAAAATGGCACGGGTTACATAGCCTGCCGTAAATAACATTGAAGTCTATTTAAACTTTTTCAATTATTTTGATATCTTTTACCGGCAGCGATCCTGAGACCGGCATCGGCCGCGTTATCGAAGCCGGAGGCGAACGAAGGTCTTGTCTTCTCCGTTCATCTCGCGCACATCCTGACAACCGTCGCGTTCGCTTCCACTTTTGGCGGACGTTTCATAAATAAGCCTTTGTGCGACCCATCTGGAAATTGAATTGGAAAGTTCGCCTCGCCCACATCGTGGGAGAGCTGAAAACGACACCGCGGCGCAGATCGGCGCGCAACGACCAACGACCAACGGTAACGTCAATTTTCTGGACGATTTTTCCCTCCGCCTCGCGCCGGTCCATCGTCGTAGCGCGCTTCGTTTATTCGCATTCAACCGGTTGAAATCTCATTTATTACCCGTACACCGTATGCAATTTTGCCCCCGATGCTTTGCCGCGCCGCCGAGCCACCGGTAGCAGTCGGTCGGCTTTTACAACCGCGACGCGTCGTACGACGACAAAACCGTTCGCGCGCGAGGCAACGTAATTTCTGGCACGTTCGCGAATAATGCCCGCTCGCTTCAATTCACCGCAGTAATATACGGAGTGATCCGACCATTATCATCAACGCGCCTCGGTGTTTATTGTATTTGTCGTCAATGCTGCATCGCGCGCCACGACGATAATGCGATTCGTGATGTGGACGCAATGCCGACGAAAGCAACATCTCGCAGCGCGATATGCGCCTTGTTTGCGTTACACTTGTCGACTGTTAATGTAAATCTGATTTTCGCCATGCATTCAATCGTTAGATGCATTACGATTTCACTACAGAACGACTCTCTATGTCGGTAGTAAGCAAAAATTTGGAATTCGGTGATTCGAGCAAGCTTCACTATTTATTTCGGAATGCACAGATTTCATAATTAAAGCTTAGTAAAAATTCATTACCTCAAGAATAAAATAGAAAAAATTAATTATTCGCGCAGCGAAGTTATATATACATATAATACGTACGATGTTGATCTGTAAAAAAATGATATAAATAATACAAATACTGGAAATAGACTTCAGATATGTATATCTGAAAAAAAAAAAATATATATATATATATAATTATTATTATTAACTGCAGCATCTCGAAAAGCGAATCGAATGACATAACTCTTTATTATGGAAAAGAGAATCACGCTTTATCGACACACCTACGAAATTATCTCAGAGTTTCGGTACTAATACGGTCTCCGCAAAGCGTTTTCTTATTAGTCTATTTTATTCCGTTCCACCTACAACGGCGAAGATTAAATGGATTCGCGCGGTAATTTGTGGATCGATAGATTTTAACGCACTTGGCAGACGGCTCGCCGAGCGGCATTGGACTGTTTCCAACCGGAACGTTCTGGAAATGTAGTTAGCTTGGTACGTAATTGGTATTCTTGACGCAAAAATTCATTTACGAAATCACTGAGTATAAAAGGAGAAACGGGAGATATCTCAAATAAAAGACGTGAGGATTTAATTTCGTAATTTTGCAAATAAAAATAAAAATCTTGATACAATTTAATTTAGTTCCTGCTTTTATTTGCATTCATCTCCGACTAATATTTTATGTGTAATTAAAAGACATATCTTGCTGTTAAACCCTGAAGAGGAAAGCAAACGATCGAGAAACAGTGACTCATACTTGTAAAATATATCGCGAATTGCTGTCAAGTAGTGTAAGAACAAGAATAGCAAATATAAGCATGTCTACACTACTCGAAGCAAATTTTACAAAATATTCTAGCAACCTACATGCGATATCTCATTGGTTGAGATACTTATGTTCTATGCATGTGTTTTTCTATCAATTTATATACTTTATGAGCTGTTTTGAAGTTAAAAAGTCTCTTCCTGTCCCTTCTCCTTGATTTGTTTAAATCTACTTGCTAGAGGAATGTAAATCTCTATCATGCAAATATAATTACGACCTGGTTCAGAATTTACCTTCACCGCACTAACGCAAGAGCAAATATTTACGAGCAGGTCGCTCGAAGAAATCATCGGCCGTGAAGGAAGTGCTCCTTCTTCCCTGCCGTGCACTTTTGTCAAAAGTTACTTACATACTTCATTATTTTTAATGAAAAATATTCTATTACATTTTCTCTCTCTCTCTCTCTTTCTCTCTTTTTCTTTCTCTCTATCTCTTATACCGAAAAAATGTTACTTCCATTTTTTTCTTCGTTTTAACTCTCTCTTCACTCTTCCTCTCCAATTAATTCTTCTTTGTGTTACACTATCTCTTCGTTATGAAGAAAATGGAAGCGAATGATCTCTAAATACGAAGCATTCTATTCTCTCTTGCATCTTTCCATTTTTGTTCATACCTTCACAAATTGAAGACGCGTAATACTTCTCATACGCACACGGCTTCTGACAGAGTGCCTTGTCTACTATCTGTAATTATACTGAACTTCGTGCCGTGACTGCGGAAACCTCCTACTCTGAGAACGAATTAAAATAAATCTCAGAGATAGCGGCTGTTGGTCTGGTGGGCGAAAAAGATCTTGTTGGCCAACATAATAAGAGCTATTTATAGAATACTTTATGAGTGTCCAGGAAATGCGCGCGCGAGGAAGGAATTCATACAAATTATAAAAATTCAAATAGTGCAGTCAGATGCACTGCTATATTTTAAAACATTTAATTTTTTGATACATTTATTTTAAAAATATCCGAACGCTTCTTCTTCCTTTTCAGTGTAAATTTATAAAATATTTATATTTAATTTATATGTATATTATCAATTATTATAAACATAAAAGTAAATTTAAAAAAGAATTTCTATTTATTTCTTATTTTTCTCTTTTTTCTGCAATATTTAATTGTTTATCAGTTTATCAGAAATACTGCTTTTGTGCTATATTTTATCCCACATTACGACTAATGTCGTTTTCCCAATAATTGCGCCCGATTAACACGCTTTACTTTTATTAACATTGGTAAAAATTCAACGATGTATTCGTTAGTTTAAATCTCAAAATTAAAGTCAAATCCGGCTTTCAGAATGAAGAGCGGATATACTTCGTTTTAGTTTGACTTATTACTGTTTCACGCCGAGTTTGTAGTACCGAACGAGAAATAAAAATCCGGCTTAGCGTTCCAAGCGGACTATTGGTTGCCTGGAGACAAATTTTTGCGCGATATTGGAATTCTTTTTCTTTCTTCCTTGTTCGGCTAATGCGATCTCGATAAAGAGAACAGAGGCAACGTTCGATCAAAGAGGTAGGGACGCGTCCCTTTGCCGGGTAGAAGGATGGGGTGCGCAATCAGGAATCCTTTCACTGCAACTTACAGAGATATAGCCGACTCTCGTGTTGTATGCAAATCCATCTGTACTTGATTATTTCGATTCATCGTCGATGGACTCATCGACTGATCGAGCCGATCTAACGAGAACAGAGGGAGATGGAAAGAGTATACTACCACGAATGTTGCTGATACTCTTTTATTGTTAATAAAAGTTTGCAAAGCGATTGTCAGTAGGATTTCAACTTTTCAATGCACTCTAATGGAAACTTTCTGTCGACGAGCTCACACATCATATGTAAATAGACGTGCATCTATGTCTACGTAATTGTATCAAATGAAATGTG